TTATGTAAGTGCATTTATACACATTTTTATTTATTTACAATTTGGTATTCCATTTTTTTCTTTACTAATTTTGAGTTTTTTTGGGAGAAACAACAAGCTCCTACTGGTAGTCCTACTTAGTTTTTAAAATTTTAGGTACTCATTAGGTATTCACTCAAATAAAATGTTTTTTTGTTGTTTTAAGAGCATATGTGCAAAGAGACAGCCTGACGTTCTACGTCTGTAGGTATGTAAATATGTTAGTGCATATGTTTAAGCTGCGATTGTGCGAACTCATCGATCTATCTTATAGCCAAAAATACCTGCACTTGTAAATTACCGTTACTTAACTATTTAGCCATCCGACTACAAGCTCACTGTCGTCGTTAATATTCTTAAAACAAAATCAAAAGCTCTTTTTATTTAAATTGTGTCTTGGTGCGCATTGAGTTACTGGCCTTTTCATCTCTTTGTGTTAGTAACAAATTCTGAATCAAAGTTTACATCGTTGCAGCTTCAATGAACCAGGTACTTTATACAAAGCTTTCAGTTTGGTGGTATGGCTTTAAAATTAATAGCCATACATACATATAAATACATATCTATGTACATACATATGTATGTACATATGTACTTTTAAAATAACTGGAGTTGTTTTAAAATTTTCCTATTTCACTAATTTTATTTCTGACTTGATTAAAAGTGTGGTGTCATGTTTTGTCTTTTCTTCTTTGGTTTCAGATATTTTTTTGCACGTTTGTCATTTTGCGTTTCTCGATAGATAGTGGTGGGTCTTATTGAGTATGCAATTTTATACTATTATATGCATATATGTGTGTTTGCTAACATGCGTATTCTTTCTTTACAGCTTACATACTTATTTATTTAGAGCTCTTGCCTGTGAAATAGAAGAAGATATAAGAAGAAAGAGAAATAATTAAGCATAACTACTTTTATAAATTTAGTGTTTTAACAAATCGGGTGATAAGCATGCCAATCGGGGGGAATAGAACCAATCTGGAGTCAGCCGAATTGCACATTTAGACATACATACGTTTAATATCGTTGTAGCAGCATTAAATTGCAAACCATATCCAAAAATCGATTTTTTTTCTTCAGTTTTATTCTCTTTTGTTTGTGTCTACCAAAATTTTAAGCATTTAAAGCAGAGTACATCTAATGGAAAAGCACCTAACTGGAGGATATCGAAGAAAAGTGAATGCGCGGATTGTAGATACCTAGTTGAGTGTGTGTGTGTTTAGTCAATAACATCGAGAAGCTGGAAGATACTCATAATTTGTATCGTATGAACTGGAAAAAAAAGATATATGGATTGCAAATGATTTTATATTATGTACACATAATGGTGTGAAAATTGGCAATGTGGGCTGTATGAATCAACATTCTCCTGGTAGTTGCTTAACTCGTATTTATATAATGTATAATGCTAAAATGTAAAGAAAATCTTACGAAAATTTAATATTCTTATACTATGACAAGAAAATGCGCAACACCCTCCACAAAAAAAACTCTAAAAAATCAACGGTAATTTTTTTTTGGTTACCCGAAAATTTTCTAACCATTTTGATTAAAAATTGTATGGCAATTTTTTTTTAAATTTGATACATTTCTTTTTTTTTGAAATTTGTGCAAACTTTGAAGCTTTTATTTATCATTTTGAATTTTGGTACTAATTCATTGACCGCAACTGTATATATGGCGAAATTCCCTTTATCACGTTGTTCCAGAAGAATTATTAAATAATTCTAACTTACTTTCAATACACACACGGGTGAATTTCCTTAAGCGCCACGGAGACGATCAAATATCTTTATCAACGCTTTAAATGTATTGGTGTCGTCGGCTTTTGTCGGCTACACGTACACTACACCGACTCGTTGTCGGCTATGCTTGATGAAAATCAAAAAATTTTGATATTTGAATTTGATGGCTGTTTATTTGACCGTCTCGCGTTATGCTTGACAAAAAACAAGCTCACTTGCCTTCTGAGCGTCGTGGTGAGAAAGTGCGCGGACAAGAAAAAGAAATTGTTTTACGTTTGATTGCTCTTTATCAATGCTTACTAGCTTTATGAAATGTAATAAATATTAATTTATAACATATAACATATAAAATTATGCCATAAATGATATAATAATTAACAACAAATACTCATCCGATGATATCGTGCTAACAAACGAACACTGCGTATTCATAATACAAAGTGGTGATTGACGCGTTTACTTGAACGTTTGCGGGCAAGACACGAGCGAACCTCACTCACACACACGCAATGCTTGACGTATTTATTTGATTGTCTCCGTGACGCTTAAAATTTAAAAAAAAAAAAACCTAGCAAACATCGACAGTTTAGCATTTTTCACTTGTCAAATACTGTGGAGCAATCACACTTTTGCATACGGGTATTATAACTTTGTTTATAGTTATTTATTAAAAAAAAACCTTACAGAAACTAAATAGAAAGCGAAATCGTTTAGGCTATGTTTATCCTTTTTATACTCGTTCCTTCGCTGGATAATATTAAAAATGGCCTCAAGCGGGCAATAACCACAATCAGTTGTAATATTTCGGTAACTTCTATAGCCAAATTGTTTAACACTTATACATATTAGGCAGTTCTTTTATTCAAAAAAAAATTATTATAGTTATTAAAAAAATTCTAAACTCGGCGTAGCTCCGCTCAATTATCTCATTACGAATCAAAATGATAACCGACTCAAATGGATGACCCTAATGCAATGATATGAAATGCATGACTTTGATTTCATTTTTCAAAACCATTCCTATTTATTATCAACAATTTTGTTATAAATCTTTTTTTATTAATATAACAAATACATAATTAAACATTGACCACAATAGATATTTACAAATATGCCTCAGATACATACAAAATATATACAACTTGAATTAACTTATGATATACAAATATATGAATGTAAAATCTCTCGACACGCTTGATGATGATGGCTTTTAATCGCAATCATGGTAATTTTTCTGCCTCTAAATACTTACATATGTATAGCGGAGTGCTTGAGTTCGGCATACGTGATCGTGAAACTGTTCAGGGTGATTGTTTTGATGAGCGAAAAGATTAGGTTAGAATTGAAGTGCGACTCTCTAATGATTTCAATTTGTATGTTTTTTTTTTTTGTTTTGTTTTTATCGATATATGTATGTATGTAAGGCATAACGTATTAAGAGAACATACATAAATTAATGTTATGCGCTCTAATACTTATGCATGTATATTCCATTTATATCTTTTCCCGAAAATCCAATTAGGCGCGATTTGTATGTTTTATGGCAAAGGGTGCAGAAAATTACAACTTCGGTTGCACAACAATAATGGGCTCATCCCTAAGAGAAATGGAAAATGTGGAAAATTGTTTTTAGTGTTAAAATGCGTGAAGAGAAACATATGCAATTGAGTGCCAAGAGTGGTTAATGATTATTTGTTAGTAATGCTTGGAATAGTTAAGTTTTTGATAGAGGAAACCATAAAAGTTCGCTGACGCATGCACATACATATACATGATTTTAGAGCGGAAATATATTCGTTGGATGATATCTGCAATAAAAATTATAATAATTATAACTGTACGCCAATAGCTAAGGCAAACAAAGCGAAAAAGGCTATGCACAAAATTTTTAAAAATAAATACAAACCGTCCGATAAAAAGCAAGTGAAGGCATGATAATTTGGAAACACACTTTTCACCACTCAACCTCAATGAATTTGAGTTTTCAATATCTTATTCATCACTTTGTTTAAATACTATTAGAAATAAGAAGCCTGAACTAAGGAATGCTGTCCAACAAAGGCTTAAAATATACATATAAGTAACTACCAGATATACATATGTAAATGAAAAAAAAAACAGCCCGTAGTAGTTGCTGGCCATTTATGAAGTGGTTTCCTATGACCCCTACAGAGGGTAAATGCAGCGAAACGTTGTTTTAACCGCTGCATATTAATACATATAAAGGGGATTTAGAAATTTCAACATTCGCCACCACCAACTATCATGCGTGATTAACCGCACAGCCTTTTTGACTGTCGTAACAAAAAAAAATAAAAATGTGAGACAATTTTCTACAAATTGTGTGCAATGTTAGTAAGAAAATAAGGTGTGGTGCGGCAAATTTTGCTTTTAGAATAAAATAAAATACTTTGGTGTCGAACAGAAGTGTATTTACAATTTAATATTTTATATATACTTAAACGTAATAGTTAAAATTAAGCGAAAAATTAAAGCTAACTGCAATCATTAACAACTTCAACAAAAGCAAAATAAGTAAGTACAAGTGAACGAGAAACGTGCAACTACTAAANTTTAGGAAGCTCATTGTAAGAGGAAAAAGTGCACTAAAGAACACATCAACTTACATATGCTCAGGGTGATTACGTATGCAATCAATAAAATCTTGAACTTTCAACTGACTTGTGCAGATCTTATGAATGGCCGTGAACAGTGGGAATCTGTAAGCAAAAATTTGTTAAAATTATTAGATATTCAAATATGTGCACATTTGTGTGCATATTTACTTTTCTTCCAAGCCCTTGTTCTTCAGCATGTAATTCACTTCTTCGGCGGTGGGGGGACCTTGCAATTTCTGGCCATTCAACATTTCGTTTTCGAGTTGTTCGATAGTTTTTCCGGTTTTCACAAAAGCCTCTGCAACGCGACGGTTACGACCACCTATTAAAGAAAAGAAAAAATACAATTGTAGCATATTTAAAATTAAACTTCTTCATCTCTACAATGACCTACCATAGCAAGTGGTAATCAGATCAGCAACACCACAGCTCTCGAAGAATGTTGATAGCTTGCTGCCTGGGTAGAAAACATCAACAAATCGTACCATTTCCATCAGACCCAATCGAATGACGGCTGCCTTAGTGTTGTCACCTAAACCTAGACCATCGATGAAACCAGCACCGGTGGCAACAATGTTCTGCACAATTAAGAAATATTTACTTGTTATACATTATAATATAAATAAAATTTCACTAATACAAAACGTAACGCACCTTGAGCGCACCACAAACTTCAACGGCATCAGCGTCTTCCACCACAACAACTCGGAAGAAATCAGCTTGGAAGAGATCACGCAGTAGTTTAGAGTACTTAATATCCCGGCAACCAATTGTAGTTTCGCAGAAGTTACCCTGCGCCACTTCATTAGCCAAATTGGCACCCATAAGCACAGAGCAGGGAATCTATAAGAGAGATATAGTATATGAGCATTTGTTTGACATACATACGTTCGTATAAGGTAATCTAAATTATTGTCGATATAAAGTATTGCATACATATTTTGGTGCCCATTCAAGTATAAAATCCACTGAGAAACGGAAGAAAACGGCATCCCTATGATTTCAACTTATGCCAAACTTTTCGTAAACAAGCAATTCTGAACAAAAAACTGTTTTTCCACAAAGATGTTTAAATGGAAGCATTACAAATATGGAAAAATGGCAATCCACAAGGCTTTATTGGCAGTAGGTCCTTTTTAAAGCACATTTAACAAAAAAATAAGCTTCTAGTTTCGAAGCTAGCACAAAATAAAATTCTTTTATTTGTTGTTTACAAAAAAAAATATTGTCTAGTATACAAGTCAAAATTGTTAAATATATATCGCTTTCATTCATTTCTTCATAGAGTTGGTGCTTCTTTTATAGGAAAATTCATACGGCTTATGAACAAATTCATACCATGTAAATGCACCATTACCCTAAGCACATTTCAGCCATGATAAAAATATAGTAAGGTAGAACCGCTGAGAGTCACTTGTAAAATTCTTGACGTTTCCAAACAATTTAATTTTTAAATTTACTCACACACACATTTTCATTTTCAATATCAAGCAACAACAATTTCGAACAATTTCAATTTTTTCTTTTCACTTTTATATGATTTTAAAATGTTGGCAAACTTCAAAAAAAAATCATGGCCGACAAATTGAGAGAACGGTTCTACCTTGCTATGTTTTTATCATGATTTCAGCTTTTTATCTGTCGAATGTGTCTTACAGCCTGTTTCAACTGAACAGCAGCGGTAATCATATTCCAATTTTTTTGCTTAACAAGTCGCTTGTCTTTTCTATTAATAGATTGTTTGTTGTCACTAAGTCACCAATAACTTGCCCGGAATACAGTCTCAATAATATAGAATATTATGAATATTGTTTTCTTTGAAGTACCCGCATCTCATTCATCATCATTTATATGCATATACACTTCTGGTCAGCTGATTATGTATGAAATTAACGATAATCTTAAATTTTTATATGAGTATTGTTTTGTGCTTAAAATTTACTAGTTCTTTTATTAATTTAATGGTTTTTGTTTTATAAATCCTCATTTACCATTTTCCCAAAAAATTTCAAACTTTTAATTCAATCAAAAACATTAAATAATCAAAAGAAAAGTAGCCAAAACTGGCCAAAACGTCACTTAACTTAATCAGCTTTCTCAGATATAAATACAAAAATATATTTATGGGTTAAACACAATTTTCCCAGCACGAATTTGCAACTTCCCCTCCAAATGAAATGTCAAAATTTTTTTTTACTGGGTGTTTGCCCAAGCGAACACGATTTGGTAACAATTGGTACCAACTTGTACAAGTTTTTGGCATAGCGACCATTCTCATTAGGTTTGTTCGTCGAGCAAAACATTTGTACGAATTTGTACGAATTATCACGATTTTTGCCCAAATCGCGTTCGTGCAGACCAAAAAATTATCCAACACTCAAAAATTGTGAGAGCAAAGTGACAGTTCTCTTGGAGAGAAGTTGCAAATTCTTGCTGGAAAAAATTTTGCCGGCAAGAATTTGCCAACACGAAAAACATGTGGTTGTGGCGCATGGTTGCATTTTTGTCTACAATAATTTGAATAAATTAGTTCGTTAAATTTAAAAATTTATAAACACGAGCGATTTTTTTATGAAAAAAGGAAGTAAATAATTGTTGATATAATTAATTTAGTTAATTCCAATGATTTGAACTTAATTCGGCTGAAAAAAATGGTATTCGCAATCGGAATGCAATTGCAACCAGAGTCGATTTAAGAAACCCGACAGCTAGTACGATGAAGAAATTGAAATGTATGTTAAAGAAAGTCAGAACAACAAGAAATATACATGTATATCCTGTTTTTGGCCATCCGAAAGAATTTTAAAAATTCTATAAAAATTTTTTATGTTTGAAATGCATCCGTGGACGCCAGCTGGCAGCGAAACTTGCAAATTCCTGCAAATTACTTACTCTCTGATATTTTGAGTGTTGGATAATTCTTGCTGGATTTTCGACGAACAAACCTATTGTCAGTGGGTTCTGAGTCAGCTTGAAGTTTCAAGTCTCTAGGTCATCGGGAAGTTGGTCCAAAATTGATTGCAAGAGTTGCCCCTAACTAACATACTTACTTACATAGCAAAGCAAGTTAAACAAAGCTTGTAAAAATAAAATCAAACAAGTAATTTTTAAACTGCAACTTTTATTGTGGAGGCGCCCTAATGCACATACACTTTACAAATATACAGATATAAACACGTGCACACCTTAAATACCAATAAATAATCATATAATTACGTCCTATTGGCCAATTGGCAGGATTTTATCGGATTGAAATAAAATCCGCATATTTATCGCGAATAATTTTATTTATGGTATGATTAGAAGACCAACGTCGGCGTCAATATGCTGTTATACATACCTAATATAAACCGAGTACTACAAAATTGATTTATCGCTTAGGAACAATATTAGACAATGTGAGCCTGCAATCGCTCATTTGTGGCGCTTTTTTTCCTATTAACGCGAAGCTCAATGAACAATCATGATTTATTAAATGAATTATTTATATAAAGTATTTATATATTATCCACTATCAGGGCAGCGCTACATGCAAAGTATACACGCGAATGGATTCCATTAATTTTCTTTCATCTCTTTTACAGGTCGCTGTACCGGATCTCATTGAAGCGTGCAAAAACGCTGATATTCTCATTTTCGTTGTGCCACATCAGTTCATCCCGAACTTCTGCAAAACGCTTTTGGGTAAAATTAAGCCCAATGCTATAGCTATTTCGCTGATTAAGGGCTTTGACAAGGCCGAAGGCGGTGGCATCGATCTTATTTCCCACATCATTACCCGCCATTTGAAGG